CATGAGGAACAAACGTAAGGAAGAAAATCATCATGCTAAGGGTAGTAGAATGAAAATACAGACAAACCTGGAGCTTTGATGACATCACTATGCCACTAAATTAACCCTGGCACCATGTCTTTCAGAAAGCCAGTCTACAGACAAAGCAATGGAACTGATGTTCAAAGTCAGCTGAAGTGAACAACTATGCAATCCAAAAAGAAAGTGAATAGCTGCCTACTTTCTAAATGATAATAAGAGTTAATGGTTACTGAGTTCCTATTACATGTCAGGCAGTGTTCCAAGTGCTTTATATGTATTATCTCACTTAAACTATACAACAACACAACAAGGTAGAAACTTTGATTATTCTCTACTTTTTAGTAAAGTAAATGAAGTTCAGAAATGTTAGGTAACTTACCCAAGGTCACAAATTCATCAATGCCAAGGTTGGAACTCACACACAGGCCTTCTGACTCTAAGAGTTTTTACCACTAGGTTAATGTTGAGGTGTTTCTGGCTTCCTACAGTTGGATTTCAAAAGCTTCCTTCATATCCTGATATCTTCGTCTCTTTTTATTTGAGCTGGTCTGAGTGAGTTTATGTTCATTGCACCCAAATGTTCCCTTAGACACTGGCATTGTCAAGATTCAGGCTTCCTTTCTCTACTCCATAACAAATCTGTGAGTCTCAATGTCCATTTGTTAAATGCACCAAATCCAGATCACACAGTAAAGCCCTGATTTAGTGGAACTCATGGTATTCCAATGGTTCCCTGTTCCCTCCCCAATTGTCACATAGTAGGTGTCTGACATCAGGGTCCTTTGGAGCTACACTTCCAGTGCAATGTGATTTATTAATTAAACTATGAATGAGTACCTAATAAGGGATGAAATTGTTGACACTGGTTCAAACACTGTAATTGTCCCATGATGTCCTCACCTCTAATTTTATGTTTTTTAACTTTTCAAAGTTAAAGTTTTTATGTAAATGACATCCTGCGCTTACATACATCTCTGTGACTCTTGAGACTAGGAAGGCATTTCTATGGCCTTACTATTGTTTATTCATGTCACACCCTCACTCCCTCACTCGGTCAACAAATATTTGAGTATCTGCATGCACCAGGCACTACACGAGGCACTGGTATCAATAGGTTATGTTCTCTGCCCTCACAGAGGGCAATAAAATGTAATAATACGCCATATCAGTTTTCCCTCTAAATCAACAGGAGAGCTAAAACAAATAAAAAGAGCACATAGGATTAGACATTTTGTGGATGAGAAATCCAGTGTAGCAGCTAAAAGCAGACTCTGTTGACCGATGACCTGGGTTCAAGTCCCTGCCACTGTGTGACTTTGGATTAGTTCCCTGTATCTCAATTGTTTAACCTGTTAAATGGGGACAAAAACTGTAGCTCTGTCATTGGGTTAAGAGAGATAGCATTTTTGCAAATCACTGAGAATGTAATAAGCACTACAGAAACATTTTTCCAAAAGAAAAAAAGAGCTCCAGTCCACTCTACCCACTGATCATAACCGAGCAACCTGGCAGCCAGCAGTAGTGATGTGACAACACTGGAAACTACAAACAGGAACACAGTATCATCAGTGTTGGGAACTGGGGTTCCGGGCACCAGGACCAGGGTGACACTGCAGGAAAATGACTCCTCTAGCCACTGCCCCTAAGTGAAATAGGGCTTCTACAATCAGTTGCTTCTGGCTCTCAGAATTCCCAAACTAAGGCGTCAGTTAAAGAGAATTTAAGGTGACTTTTCCTGAATAATTTGGTTTTTAATAAGCAGATCTTGGAAGGATGAAGCAGAAGCACAAATTTGGAAGGGATCTTAGAAGTCAAGCTCTCACCCAAATTTTTAAAAAGAGTTTACATTGCTTAATAATTAGAGGAATGCCATAAAGATTACTGATTTACAACTAAAAATATACAACATATGTCATCAAAAATAGTGGAACTCATGAAGCCAGAAGATTAGAACTTGACCAACTAAATAAATAACAGGGCCAGTCATCATGGGTGGTTTTATCATTCTTTCAGATTTATATTAAATTATATCATCCATGTTCTTTACTGTCTTTGGGTTGAAGAGGTAAAAACATGGTACCTTTCTGGGTCATTAATTACATGATCTCTGGTAGGATCCCAAATCCACTAAGGGTTATTTCTTAACTCCAAAGGGGTTCTTTTGGTATGTCATGTGGATAAACTCAAACCCCTCTGACTATTGACTGATTACTCAACCTCTCCTGAAATATTTCCAACGATGAAGGTGCACAGTTTTAGACAGATCTTTTCATTCATTGAGCATCTCTAGTTATCATCAATAATTCCTTTTGTTGCTCCCAAACTGCTTATGGTGGTTCTGGAGCAAGGATATCCCTGACTCTAAATGATGGTCTTCATATGCTTGGAGAAAAGGATTCCCTGACTTGTTCTAATTTCCTGAGCATCACTCGACATGAGTTATGACCCAAGTCCCTCAGTTTCAAAGGAGGAGATCAACAGAATCTACACATTCAAAGGGGTGTCCAGGAAGAGCATTTTGAGAAAGGGTCCCTGAAGTGCCCTGAAAGGTAATCTTGCTTCTGGACTCTGGGGAGAAGAAAAGCACATTGACGCCTTATTTTCATTATATCTGCAATATGCTCCTCCCTACCTCGAATCCTGCCGCCTGGAAAAGGGAATTGATATCAAGACTCAAACATGAGTGCATTGTGAGATCATGCAAATTCAGTGGAATTCAACAAGACTTTTGTAGCTGAAATTGGAACCAAATGTCTCAAAATACACCTGTCCCTAGACAGCATGGACTTAGTACTTTCAAAATGGAAACAATGATTTAGCTTAATCAGGGCCAGTTTTTTAAAAGTAAGCTTTATTTCTCTGTAGGTGTGACAATATAGACTTGGAACCTTCTCAGCTGATAGAATTTAATATTTAAGAGGCCAAGGTTGGGAGTTTAATTCTCATAAAAAACAATTAACTTTGATCAAAACAAAGCTCTGTGCTGTGTGCTCACATCATTCCATCCTTAAATCCCAGACTACATAGTGGTAATAATAAATAAATGGATGACAGCTAACAAGTACAGAAGATTTTTTTGTGTGCTAGGCACTCTATGGAAGGCTTTGCACAAATTATTTCATTTAATGCTCACAACTGCTCTGTGAAGCAAGTTCTCCTAGGATTTATTCAGAGTAAAAGCTAACTGCCTCCCAGTGACCCACTCTGTCTCTCTGCCCCTGCCACATTCTGCTCCACCCACACTGGCCTCCCAGCTCTTTCCCAAACACATCTGCCCCAGGGCCTTTGCACATGCTCTTCTCTCTGTCAGCAGTGCTCCCCAGGTAACCTTCAAGGCTCATTTTCTCTTCTCTTTCAAGTTTTCCTTTAAATATCATCTTCTTAGCAGGTCCTTCCACCGCCCCCTAGAAAATTGCAATACCCTCTCTGCCATCATATGACATACTTCTCTGCTTTATGTATTTTCCATAGCAGTTATCATTTTCTAGCCTATAATACAATTGACGTATTTTTGTGTTATCTGACTTGTTACCTGTGTCACTTGACTAGAAACGTGTGCCAGAATTTTTGTCTACTTTTGTTCACAGTTCTAAACTTGGTACCTAGAAACCCACCTGATACACGGTAGGCACTTCATAAACATGTGGTGGTTATATTGTATATGGGAGGCAATACGCACAAAGAGGGTAAGAGTCAGGCCTTTTGCAGAAAGAAAAACCTCATTAGGAACCGTGTTTCAGAAACCAAACTTGAAGTACATATCCCTTTCCGGGTAGGTTGGCGCCATTACTAAGGGCAATGTAATAGATCTAAATAACTTGTAAATTGAGGTTGGTGCCATTACTAAGGGCAATGTATTACATTTGAATAATACATAAGTAGCAATACACACCACCAGTCAAGAATAAAAAGAAGTATTCCAAGTGTGTTCCATATTCTGGAATTATGTAACAATAGTCAAAAATCACTTGGAATATTTTGTGACTCTTCTGGGAAATTTTTTGTCACAAAACTTGAGGGAAATGTGCCAAACTAAAAAATGAAGGAGATCTAAAAGTTCTCATGAAAATGTTTTCCCAGGGTTGTGCCACAGCAAGAATGACAGCGTATAATACTTCTTTATAGATGCCATTCAGATTCAAGGATCTTTTCCCAAGTTCCTTTTAGGTGATTATATTTAACCTCCTTAACAATGCAGGAATCCAATTTGCAGATGAGGCACTGTGATCTGAGAGGCTGTGTGCCTTCCTGAAATAGCCCAGTAAGGGGTACAATGCAGAACAGAATAGAATTCTTTTGTCTCTATCTGGCATGCCTGCCCAGGCTTCATGTATTTATCATTTTACAGTGTCTTCTATCCTGAGGGAAAATCCTCAGTTTTTGTAAGTGACTAACTTAATGTCTCATCAATGAAAAAATATAGAACTACAAATATTACTTTCTCTACCTCTTTTTCTGAGGTCGGCTGTTGCACAGATTCAAGAGATTCATACCGGAGGGCATACATCATCATAGTAAAATTAGTGTCTTTGTCTGAAGTTCATTTCACTAACTAAACAGCCAGGCGTATAAAGCTCACATTATTACAGAGGGGGAAAAATGCAGCTGCTGACAGGATCGCTAAGAGCAACAAACACCAGGAAAATCTCTTCTCAAAAAACCACTTTTTTCTTAACCATATTTTTGCTGACTATTTTCTCCACAGCCTTGGAAACTTGTTTTCACCTCCATTCCTTTCCAAAAAAAGAATTTTACCCCGGGGGAGAAAAAAAAATTAAGACCTCAACACCAAGTACAAATTGCTCATTTAAAGAACAGGCATGAAGGATGTGGGGGCTTTTCTTCCTTAAAAGCTCATCACTCTGTAGAAAGAATCTGAAGGCTGTCCTGATTCTTCTTGAGCAATGGAGCAGTTTTTTGGTTTTGTGTGAGTTAATTTTAATTTAAAAAAAAAAAAAAAAGCACCATTCTTGAGAAGCTGTTGCTATGAGACTTCCTGGGCCACAACAGATGGCCACAAGAACAGTTCTCAGGCCTGAGCTCCGAGCTCTGAGGCCTCCACTCAGGCATACCATTAACATTCCTGAAATACCTTCGGAGGCAATGCAGGCCAGCCACCTTCAGACGGCTCACCCGCAGCTGGCCTCCCTGGTCAAGGGGCCAGGGTTGAAATTTGTTATAAATGAAATGATCGGGTCTTTCCAGGAAAAAGCCAGAGGTGAGAGGATGCTGTTCTCAATTTAGGCTTCAGGAAAACTTTACCAGCAACCCACTGGAGTTTTGAGTTGTTCAGGTGAGCACATGCCCAATTCATTTCATTGTTTTAATGCTCTCTCTTTCAGTCACAGAGTCATCTGGTTAAGAGAACCAGCATATTTTTGGCCTGAAGCATTTTAGTGCCCACAGAGAACTGCTCAGGGAAAGGTTTAAGGATCCCTGATTTCCCTTTTGACAGAAAGACAAAAACAAAAGGAAAACCGCATGGTATTTGAGGTTCTAATTTCTCACTAACTTCTTGGTAGTGTTGGACAAATTCTTCCACTTCATTCTTTTTCTCTCTCTCTTCCAAACTAGGATAATGATATATGACCTACCTCAGATGGAAGAACTAGTGATCCACAATTAATAAACAACTGAGAAATAATTGCATAAATATCAGGTCACTAAGACCGGGCCTCCACTGCTGTGAGAGTAAAGATAAGGGAAGAACTTGGAGATTCCCTTCAGAGGCTGATTGCTGGGACCCCCGCCCCTGGAGGGCTGATGGGCAATGCTGAACACCGGGTTTAGTGGGCGGAGTCTACTGGTAGCTCTACTGCTTACTAGGGAGCTTTGGTACTTGGAAAAAAAATCAAGTGTTTCTGAGCAGCCATAGCTTCCCAGGGTGGGGCTCATTTACATTCCAACACCAGAGTTTTTGCTTTAAAGCCAGGCTTCCAATGCAGAAGCGAAGTCTTCCTTCAGTGACTGATGCCAGGAGTCTCTTTTTCTGTTTTTTGAGACGGAGTTTCACTCTTACCACCCAGGCTGGAGTGCAATGACACAATCTCGGCTCACTGCAACCTCCACCTTCTGGGTTCAAGCGATTCTCCTGCCTCAGCCTCCTGAGTGACTGGGATTACAGGCATGCACCACCACGCCCAGCTAATTTTGTATTTTTAGTAGAGACGGGGTTTCTCCATGTTGGTCAGGCTGGTCTCAAACTCCTGACCTCAGGTCTTGGCCTCCCAAAGTGCTGGGATTACGGGCATGAGCCACCATGCCCGGCTAGGAGTCTCTTGATCACTTGTGGAACATCAGTCATTCTATCAGTTTCGGTTCACACAAGTTTGTTAAGAGCTTTTATGTCAATGAGATCAGATGATATGCCACCAATACCGCTCTGCAGCTATCATTTGGGTTTCATTTTTTAAACCAGTCAGTCGAACTAAGAAGCAAAATGGTGTGAGACAGCTTAGCTTCATGCCTTCCAAAATCATCCATTTGTCCGAAAGCATACCTTACCACCTGTCACCAAAATGTGATCATTAAGACTGCTGGGGATTTTTTGGTTTATTTTTTGTTTTCTAACAAACATGCCTTTTAGGGGTTTGGCCTAACAAGGAGTGCTACCTTTTCCCTATTAACCAGTGACATTTTAATGAAGTCATCTATGGAGGGGTGCAGGTGAGGAAGCTGTTTCTTTTCCCATGTGTCTAGGGCTACCCAAACTCAGCTTGCTTGTCTATTCCCTATGGCCAGAGCACATTGAGCTAAGGGAGGTCTTCACCCAGCTGTTCAGCTTCTGAACTCACAGGTCTCTCCAACCCCAGGAAAAGTCAGGGGCCAAGGCTGGACACTGTGGGGAGAAGAAGAGGGGAGAGACAGAAACAGAGAGAGGAAGGTGTCTGATGTTTACAGCCTTCCATTTGCAGAGCTGAACCTTCCAAGCAGAGCCAATGGGGTGCACAGTGTGTGTCTGGGAGGGGGAGGCTGCGTGGCTTTCTTGTGCCCCATTGTGTGTTGTGCTGTCCACATCACCAGTAGGGACCCTCACCAGACAGCAGTCCGGAAGCCTGGCAGGCATTCCACGGTTCCCGGAAGGAGGCTTTTAAAAATGGTCACTCGGGAAACAATAAACTTAAGACACTTAATCCCCTTGCCCTCCAATCTAACTCTCTAATGGTATTGTTCTTGGAATAAAATATCTATTTATCATAGTTATTAATGAATGTGTTACATTACATATTTGGAGTCCCCTGGTACTCTGTAGACACGAACAAGGGCTTTCTACACTCTTAATATGAAACGTGGGGTTTGTGACTTTGTTTACTTTTTAAGTATTGTTAAGTTTTTCATCCCGCTCTCTCCCTTTCTGTACCTTTTTAGGATACTGGGGTTTTTATGGAAGACAATGATTAGGGCTAACATTAGGGTATAAGATTAGGGTATTTATCCATCTCCATACAAAAAATGACTTATCCTTAACTCAGGAAATTACCTTTGATTTACATATATTCTCTAGGTTGTAATTCATAAGCAAAGGTAGATTTTTAAAATATAAACCAGTGCTAAATGTTTAATATCTATTTAGCTTTCCGATGTTCATTTCTGTTTAACTCCTTCAACCTTTATAAATTCGCTTTTTCTCTACCTACCTATGGATCTATATTTTAAAATCACTTGCATATACATTATATTTTTAAGTGATTGCTATAGACTTGTGTGATGATCATATTTCATCTGCTGAGTAATGTCATTTCTGGTGCTTTTATTCATCAAAACAGTACTTTTTATATTTATATTAAATGTTACTAATGTGTTATCTTAGTACAGGAAAATGTTTTTATGAAGACACTTTAGCTAACTGCTGAAAAAAATGGAAAACTCCAACTGGCTGTAGCCATTGGAAGAAAAAAACACATTCGAGGATGATTAACACAGATTTTGAATGACCTGTTTGCCCCATTGCTGTTTATCACTTGAACAGAATCACTGAGAACTGGTAAACACCTTCCTTTCATGAAGGTGTTTACATCCTTGAAATTAATGAGGTGGGAAAAGTAGTCTCAGAACCTCTTTAGATTTATAAAGAGAACTTTACCCATTTTCAGAATTTTTCAATGAAAAAACAATTTTAATCCAAGGGAAAATTACTTTCCTTCCTATCACAACAAAACAGGGTGAAAACACTAGTCCCAAACCACCAGTCTTTTATCCATCTTCAACTATTAAATCCTCAAGTTACAAATATGGTGACAGCAACCCCAAAGACAGGATGGTCCCTGAAGTATGTGTCAATTGATTTACAGTAAAATGAAATCAGAGCACAGTTTAGGCTTAATCAGAATCACACAGAATTACATTCCTAAGCATCTCAACTGTTGCTTAAATGTAGGTGCTTGTATTTATAATTCGACCTGCTCTGAAACATAAAGGATGAGAAGAGTGAGCCCACCAATCAATACAATCCAGTTTTGCTGTTGAAGTGCAATTCATTGATTCACCCATGTTGAACAAGCCTAAAAAAGAAAAGCTGCCTTCATATCCAAACGAGAAAGTTAAAGATAGTTTTAAAAATAAGTTAAAATTAGGCTATAAATTCTGAGATTGCATGATTGGAGGGAGCCAAGATATTTGGGCTGACTTGGTATTATTATACAAGTTAGCATATATATTTGTTGGCCTTAACTAAAAGTTACTTTACTCTGTTATCACTTGAGCTTCTCATCAAATACGAAAATGTGCCCGTTGCCTGAGAGGACTAGAGTCATTTGTCAAGCTGTCTCCTCCCCATGTACGTCTTTATTTATTCTTTTATATTATTTTGTCAGCATATCTGTTAGCCCAAAACCTTGGTGATTTCATCATAAAGGCCTAACTTGAACAACTTCCCTAGCTATCTTTAGTTTATCTTCCCAATACTGGCATTTCTGCCAACATCGACGGAGAAATAATGTCATCGAGAAATCGCTGGTTTAAAATGGACTTACCTTAAGGAAGTCTATGCCCAGGCAGGTTCATTGTCCTCAGTTATCTGTTGGACATTTCTGTCTTGCGTGACACTGGGCCAAGGCTGGCCCACCTCGGGAGCTTGGTGGCTTGGGGGAGGTGGCCTAGAGGCACGGTTCTGGCCCAGGAAGGATCTGCAGGAGCCAGCCCGAGGAAGGCAGAGCTGAGACACAGGTGTCTGACACCACAGACGCACCTCCGCTGGTAACCTGGGCTGCCCTGATTAGCCAAGCACAAAAGGCAGTTTGAATGACTGCCTCCTCCCAGCCAATCGCCGGCCGCCTGCCTGACAGGAGCAGGCCCGCTGATGTAAGGGGAAGTGCGCTCGGCCAGAACCTGAGAACCGGTTTCCACCGCGCTGGCACTCCGGCTCCGGCGTGCATTCCCGCCGCCACTCGCAGGAGCTGCTTGTCGGGCTGTGGTGTCCTGCCCGTCCCCAACAAGTGTCGCTCTAGGGTCCTCTGACTCAGAAACACGACGTGCTGTGAAGACCATTAAAGCGAAGGTAAAGAAGAACACAGCGTCGGCAGCTTTATCTGCCCTTCCTCCCAGCCCTTGCCAGTCGGGTTTCTTTGTCGCTAATTAAGTTCAATTTTTAATTAGCTATGGTTTTTGCAAGCAACAGTTTCTTGCAGACGCTGGGAGAAGAGGCAGGAGCAATAAAGAAAGATCTTTCTACAGTCATTGTTCTCAACAATGAAATTCAGTATTATAAAAATCACAGACATAAAAATAGATCATTTATAATAAAGATGCTGCTCATAAAAAGACAAAACAACAACACCACATTGCATCTTAGAATTCAGCACAATGGGGTGCGATGCAGCCTGCCTTTGTAGATGAAATCATAACAGGTTTCCTAAACTCCATCCAGTTAGAGACTTTACTTAAATCTATCATCTGAGGCCCTGAAACCGCAATCCTTCGCAGCTGTATGGATAAGTAGTGCTTGATTCAAGTTTGGTATTTGCCCCAGACTGTAGGGGTCAGCTTAACAGTAACCATAGACACAAAGAGAAAGAGAAAAGGCACACACAGAAAGAAAATGGGACTCCAAGAGTGTCTGAGTTTATGGGTATGTAAATGTATTTTCCTTAGAGCCATCATGATGGGAAAAAAAATTATAGAATACACAGACAATTTCTAAATTTCCTTGCGAAAGCATTGGAACAAGATTTGCAGGTTATTTTTAGGCATAGAAAGAAGAGAGAAAGAAAGCATGCCGCCCTCCCCACACACACAGAATTCTGAACTCACAGTGGCATTATTTTCTACAAGCAGTAGTAATCATTCCAGACACCGAGAAAGTCTGAAGCATCCTCAAGGTTATCATTGCATTTCAATGGTGATACTAATTTTATTGAAAGATTGTTCCTGTATTAACTGGAAAGTCTGTCGCTCCAGAATGTTCCACTTGAGTTGCAGAGTTATTTATATCTCTATAATGTGAAATATTAGGAAATGAAATTGAGGCAAATGTGGGATAGGAATGGGGTGGGGTACAGAAACATCTTTCAAAAGAAGAGAAGCCTCCCACTAGATCTGGCATCATAGATGCATTCGTTCAAAAGTAGCCTCCTTTTTTCTTAGGAAAGCACAGTTCTTATCCCAGCTTTATGTTTTCCTCTCCCCACCACGCAACTTCCCCAAAACATCACAACAGAGTGGAATTTCCTTCCATCATAGGCTACTCCCAGCAAGCCAGAGTTCAAGAGCAGCCAGGCCATGCAATTCATTTTGAATATGTCAAATTTAATAACCTCCTGCTGCGGACCAGACCTCATCTCTACTATGCGGAATGATGAATGGTCATGTTTGACGTTTGTTTATCACAATCAGTTGGCTAGTATGGGAACGCCATTTCCGAAAACAGCAGAACATTCCCAGTAGTTTACAGGAGCCAGGAGTGGACTCATTTGTGTCACCAGTCACTTCCTCATAGTCCAGTTCTGTCCAATTTAAGCTCACTTCAGATCTACCTCTGCTCCAGATTTTCTGTGACAACATCCTCAACATTTTGTTGGCTCCGGGAACCATGTATATTGCATACACAGTCCTCATGGATGCTATGTTACAGTAAAAGAAATCTGTGTGACTTTTTTTTTTTTTTTTGAGATGGAGTCTTGCTCTGTTGCCAGGCTGGAGTGCAGTGGCACAATCTCAGCTCACTGCAACCTCTGCCTCCTGGATACAAGAGATTCTCCTGCCTCCACCTCCCAAGTAGCTGGAATTACAGGCATGTGCCACCACGCCCGGCTAATTTTTGTATTTTTTTAAGTAGAAATGGAGTTTCACCATGTTGGCTAGACTGGTTTTGAACTCCTGACCTCAGGTGATCTGCCTGCCTGGGCTTCCTAAAGTGCTAGGATTATAGGTGCAAGCCACCGCACCCAGCCTCTATGTCACTCTTTAGGGAAATTAAACAAGTAAAAGTTAAAAGCAATTAAATCACCTGTCCTTTCACAAATTATGAGATGAATAAGGAAAGCATTGCTATTTACAAAGAATGGATGCCTATTAATAATATTAGATTGAATGATATGAAATTGCCAAATTGCCAATATTTGATAATTTTTGGTCCACTACAACAGAAATTTCATGTGGTTCCAACCTACAGTTGGCCCATAGTTAGTAGTTACTACGTGTCAGTAGTTACCATGTTACGTTCTCTAATCATCACCACAATTCTATAAGGTAAATATTATAATTATTACTCCAACTTTACAGATGTGGAAACTGAGGCTTCGAGAAATTAAGTAACTTGTTGAAGATTTTACAGCCAGCAAGCAGCAGATCTGGAATGCACACCCAAGCAATCTGACTGCAGAGCCCACGCTTTGAACCACCACCCTCTGAGATAAAGGCTTTGAATTCACCAGCTTTGTGATTGCAGGCAAATTATTCAGCTTTTCCAAGCGTCAGTTTTCTATCCTCTGAAATGGGTACCTATCTGATGTGAGGACTGAAGGTGATGCTATGAAAAAGCACTTAGCATAGTGCTTGGTCTACAGGAAGAACTCCAGTGTTACCCAGTCGTGGTGGTATGGGCTGGATGATCGCTCTTCCTACCTTCATCATGACCTGAGGTGAGAGCATAGCGCATGACCTTTCACCCTTGGGTGGCTGGGTGGCCACTCATGGACAGAAGGATGGTGAGGTCTGGGGTCCTCAAGTCTGGAGATTATGCCGTCCTGAGTCAGTACAGACTACTCTGGTGCATCGGATGTTCTTTACACTGGAATGTGCACCAGCTCCCCTCATTTAGAAGGAAGACCGTCCACACCACGCTGCTCCCCCAGCCCAGTAAGATCTGCCCACAGCCCTATCTTGTATTTCCTCCTTTCTCCACATCTGAGTTCTAGAGAGCATTCAGACTCAGCTGTGATCAAAAACAAACGCATCTGTTCCTCATGTGGAATGCTTTCACAAACATCTTGACTTGTCACTTTCTCCCTTCCCAGATTCTTTGGCGATCAGTTGCAGAGGGTTAGGCCATTCTTGTTGGAAGAAGTAATGATGATCTAATCTGGAAGCAGTGCTGTAGACCCTGCTGTACACTGGACCAGAAGGGAGGGGACTTTGCTTTCCCTTCTGGCTCTGCCACTGATTAGCACGTGACCTTGAACACGTTACTTATTGTCTAAGGCTCTGTTCGTCGTCCTTGGAGGAGGCCCCTGGTCCAGAACATCACTCAGTGTCTTCCTAGTCTTAATATTTGTGGTGAAGAGAGGATAAAAAGGAATATACTAGATGAGTGTTTGAATATGGTGCTTTTATTTTTTTCTCTCAAAGCTCATCTACTCAAGCACATCTTGTTTTCTCCTAATTACCATTTTATAAGCCTAAGGCAGGAGAGTTTTATGTTACTCTCTTGATGAACTGCAGACCAAGATGAATAGCCTTGATTTCTGAACACCAGATTTCCGCTGGTATTTTTCCTTAATGATTTGCACATGTCCTTGCGAGGTGCTTGTTTGGGATTAGAGATGAAGTTCCATGGTGGGAAAGCTGCACAAAATAATGAAGACTGATTTCTTTGCTCATTTTGATTTTTTTTTCTGTGTCTGTCCGTAACAGTGAAACTATTCTCTAGGTGTTGTAAGGTAGATTGACTTTCTGTGTAAGGCAGGTTTAAATGTGCCTGTAGGGCACAGGCATTTAAACTCCCAGGAGGAACTTAGGAAATTTATGAATGGGGGAGATAGAAACAGCCTCTTGAACTCTTGGTCTGGTTTTCTTTTCCAAGAGCACTCACCAACTTCTAACACACTGTTTCATTTACATATGTATTGTGTTTGTTATTTATTGCTTCTGCTCACAAGAATGTCAACTCTATGAGACAGAGGTGTTTGATTTTTATCATGGCTGAGTCCCAAACACCTAGAGCAATGGCTGGCATTTATTAGGTGCTTAATAAATCAGCTTTACAAAATATGCAAAAGATTCAGGTAGAACAGGTGTCCTGTACATCTAACTTTTGGAAGTCACACTGCATCTTTAGAAGGAAGAGGGATTGTAGAATAAATCTCAATGGCGAGGGTAGAGACCAGGTCCAAGATGATGATGATGTGTTAGACAGTAAATGAACTTTTGTGGGGTTCACGATTAGTTTAGCCCAACTCTGCAAATTCCCACATACAGGTTTCAGGCTGAAAGAAAACTGGGCAGTGAGCCTAGATAGAAACTCAATAAGCTCAGTTTCTCCCTTCTAGCCCATTTTCATTTAATTTCCTGGGAAATTGTATTTGTTGAACTCCAAGTATGTCTGAAAGAGTCAGATCCTTGAAAACGCTGTAAGGGAAGCAGACACACAGCAGCTGAGCCCAATGCTCATTTTGCACTCAGGCAATCATTTTTTATCCCAGTCTGATGACACCCTAACTTTAACAAGTTTGATGAGATAATGGCTCCAGGCTTCTTAGTATCATAAAAGATGTCAGTTAAGTCCAAAGTATTATTATACAATACTTGTCCGGTATAATAACTGTAGGACATAAACCACTTATGATATAAAAAAGGCACACAAATGAAAATGACTGGCATTACAGATGAGAATCAACACATTTTTTCAATTTAATTCTGCTTCTACTCTGCTGGCCTAAAGTAATCATATCCCCCTGTTCTTATTTCTCTCTTTCCATATTCTTTAATTCTTTGGGGAAACCAAGGTATTTCTTCACAAGAATGTTACTGGCCAGAAAGTAGCAATTAAAGGCATTGAACTCAATCATCCCTTCAAAGTCCCAACATCCCAGACAGTGAAAACCAAGTTACCATTTAGTGCTAAGAATAGGAGGTAAAGTAGTTACATTTGGGTTCACAATTCATTCTTAGGAATGAAAAAAACCTCTTGGAGAAAAAGCATTGTGGAACACAAACTATAGCATTATTAATGATTCATTTCAATCTCTGGGACAATTACACAGCTAATATAAAGAATAAATAAGGTGGAAAGGTAGAAGCACGTATCAGTTACATTTATATAATTACATATGTACTTAGTAGAGTACATATGTAATGTTTACTAGGCATCAGGCAGGATACTAAGTACTTTACATATTTTAACTCTCTCAACCACCCCACAAGGGAGGTACTATTATTATCGCCATTTCCCATGTGGAGAATCTCAAGCACAGAGAGATTAAAAACTTGCCCAAGATCGGCCAGGCGCAGTGGCTCATGCTTGTAATCCCAGCACTTTGGGAGGCCGAGGCTGGCAGATCACCTGAGGTCGGTGTTTGAGACCAGCCTGACCAACATGGAGAAACCCCATCTCTACTAAAAATACAAAATTAGCCAGGTGTGGTGGCACATGCCTGTATTCCCAGCTACTCGGGAGGCTGAGGCAGAGGTTGCAGCGAGCCAAGACCACACCATTGCACTCCAGCCTGGGCAACAAGAGTGAAACTCCATCTCAAAAAAACAAAACAAAACAAAACAAAAAAAACTTGCCCAAGGTCACAAAATTAACAAGTGGTAGTAACAGGATTTGAAGCCAGGTAACCTGATTTCAAGTCATATGCTCTTAAACACTACTGCACATATTGGATTTACTGCAACTTCGGAATGGGACATAGACGGCATGTATGATGCTTAGCAGCTTTGGGTATTTTTCCGGGTAGCAGTATTCTCCTTAGTGAGGATATGCCACACCTTCCCCAGCCAGATATCAGCAGAGGGGATCAGTTGAATGGCGCCAGCCAGCAGTAACGAGAGAGGTTGTCAAGCAATTAGCCTGATGATAATTTGGTATAATAAAACCTGCTTCAAATCATGATTTAAACTGACAGTGAGGAGAACATTTTTCCTTTCACTTTCATAACTCTGCATCTTGTGCTATAGTAGAAAAGGATGGTTTGAATCACAGTGGGACTAACAAACCCATTTGCCATGAAAAGAAATGTGACAGGAGATATGTACAAACAAGTAGTCAGCACATGATGCAGGGTTTTTCATTCACTCAACAAGCATTTCATGAGTGCTTGCCATGGACTGGAGAGATCAAAGAGAGTAAGACACAATGATTCCCTCCCCCGGTTTAGGATTAAAAATCATCAACCAGTTCTCCATTGGAAAAGACAGCTTTGTCAGTTGGCTGGAGATGAAGAAGATAACTGGCCCACCAGTGTTAGCGCTACCAGGCTGGCAAACTCAAATGCTGACTAGACCAGGCAGGTGGAGTAAATGAGCAAAGCAACAGGTGTAGGATCACAGGAAACAGTGGAGCCCCAAGGCAAACTGGAAAGAGAATGCCTCATTAGACGTGGGTGCGTGCAGCTCCAGCTCACTGCTGCCAGATCGTCTGACTTCTCCACAAGCCAGAAATCCAGATTATGCAAAACTTCCAGATTTTTAATGTGGATTAAACAAACATCTGTAGATCAAGTACTTGTGTAAGTGTGTTTATTTATTTACTTTTTGAGACACTCTGTTGCCCAGGCTGGAGTGCAGTGGCATGACCACGACTCATGCAGCCTTGACCTCCCGGGCTGAAGCAATCCTCCCACCCCAACTTCCTGAGTAGCTGGGACCACAGGCAAGCACCACCACACCCAGCTAATTTTTTTTTTAATTTTTAAAAATTTTTTGCAAAGTCAGGGTCTCATTATGTAGCCAGGGCTGGTCTCAAACTGCCAAATTGCTGGGATTATAGGCGTGAGCCACCATGCCCAGCCAGATGTCATTTTTTAATTCTCACAAAAAACTTTATTAAATTCACTGAGACTTGTTAAAAATAAAATCAACTTGCTTTAATGGTGGATTTGGTATGGGTAGGTCTTGTGATCCTTATGAAATCATTTAAAAATTTTTATTAAAGTGTAACATACACAGAATGGATAAAGTGTACTAATCTATGTAAAGGGTAAAAATGATATAGAACATTTCTAACACCCACAAAAGGTTCCATCAAGACCTTTCCAGCTAATTCCAGACTTTCCAGCCCACCTTGGGTCTACATCATAAATGAGCTTTGCCTGTTGTTGTCTCGTTCAAATCTTAATTATGAGAAACTGATAACAGATAGAGTTGCATCAGGTCTGAAAGAAATAAAACTGTGTTCAAATAAATAAGGTAAAACCAAAAAGAGTGATGGCAAACTCAACAACCCCATGCAGTTCACAAAGTTAGCCGAGAGCTCTGGTGATTACTGCCTTCACACACCTGTTCTGTCTGATAACCACCATCTCTTGTGCGGTTACCATATGCCAAGTACCTGCTTGTCACTCTGCATAGAGGATCTCATGTAAGTATCACAAAACCCCCTGAGATACAAATTTAGATAAAGTTTCTTCCAACTGTATAGCTAAAGGAAACTGAGCCTGTCATAAGTTATGAGGCTAGATTCACACAGTCAATAAGTGAAAAGTCCAGATTCAAAGGCAGGGCTACTCCAAAGTTCAAGTACCTTTCCATTGCGCTACATAGCCTCCCCATAAAATTAGGGGTGTGTTTTCTTAGCTCTTCCACAATGATAAACTTCTTTTCTTAACCAGGAGCATAATAAACCTTATTTAATTTAGAATCTAAATTCTGAATGATTTACATTATAAGGATTGGTGGAGGTGTGGGTTATTAAAAGATGACA